CTTGCCACTGACAGTTGATAGTCTAGCTGAGCCGACTGACTAGCTAACGTGTTTGTTTCAAGATTGCAAAGCGTCCGTTTCTGATTTCCTCCGAACTGCATGCAAATGTTGTCACAGACCAGGGCGCGATCTGAATCGAGGTAGGTAAACCAACATGACCTGCAGCTTTGTATGCTACCACGCCACCTGAAACTGATTGCAATGTGATCTATTTGGGACCAGGTCTGCGACGGTGAAGGAAGAGGCCAGGTGACAGAGCATCTTCTCTAGTGTCTTATGTTACTGCTTGTGAGAACTAGGCTGTTGTCCTCGCACAAATAATAATAATATAATAATAATAATGCTACTACTACTAATAATAATGGGCATATTTCTATTTAAATGAGAAGCCGCATCCATATATGGCGCAGATCAAATATGTAAAAGTAGTACCATGCTCTTGCATGGGCAACGTGAATCTGTGGTGAATAAACAATAACGGTATATATCTCGTCAGTGCGAGGTGCAGTCCAACTGGGTATTACGATTCTTGGTGTACGGCAAAATCGCAAGGAGCGGATGTTATATTTTTCAAATTTTCCAAAGCAGTCCTCAAGCTTTTTGGCGGACATGGATAATTGGTCGATTAAATATTTCTGGAGGATTGTGAGGTTTTAAAACTTAACAAGTGTATATAAATAAAAGGTATAAGTAAAGTAATACGGTCATTACTGGGACCGCCTCCTTTCGGCCTGCTTCTATGCGGGTTATTATCTCGATGGATTTCACTCGCGCTTTCATGCTCCATCTGGCCGTGTGCGGGTGTGGATTTTAAAGCAGGTAAGCCATCACTTATCTAACTCATCTTTAGGGCTGTTTTTATATATATAGTGTGGACAGTCAAGCCACCTAGCTCGTACCATCAGCTGGTTAATTTTGAGTAAAGCACTTTTTTATCGCCAGGGAACTAATGACAATGCACCTTGCATTATTATTATTAGCGTTGGAAGCTTAAAATCATTCACCTCAGGAGATCGACCCAGTCGTGGTCAACAGTGAAGTAAAGAAGCATATAAAATATGTGCGCAAGAAAGACCGGCCACATTGTACAGGAGAAGTGTCTACAATGGATAACTGCTCTAAGTATCGATATGCTAGGCAGTTCTGACAATAATTTTCAGATTCATCAACATTTGCTTACGTTCGAAAGTACAAGAATTGATAGCGCTGAGTAATGAGACTCGTTCTCTGATCCTGGACTCTCGCCTCCGCGACAGAAAAAGTAATATGTAACATTACAGGAGTGTAAAAAACTATAAATAAAAAGATAAATGAATAGCTTATGTCTCGATAGTGCGGGACACAGACTGTAGAATCAATCCGATCACATTTGTATTTGAATCATGAAGAAGGATTTGCGTTCTATCCGATCGGGGCAACCGAGGTGGATAGAGAGTGATATCGACGAGTTACAATAATCGCTCCGCAATTTGTTCATTGATACCTCCGAACAGAGAAGACAGGTTATTAGAAGTGCAGAACAAGGTTCTTCTATAAGTTAAAATGTGGAAGAGGTGGGTTGACTGCGAATCGGAGAATTTTGTCATTTGCTATATGGTGCTTGGCACTTTTTCATACAATCTGGCTATATTCACGTCTATGTTTAGCATATCCTTCACTTTATTCGCTGTCAATTCTCAGTTAACTAGTGTACGAAAAACACTTTAACTCACACGTTCTTAGATTCTGCGGTAGTTTGTTCCACATCACTGCATAGCGGTGAAGAAAGAAATTTGGTCTTAAGCTAGTTCGTGCCTTTTCGATTTGTAACGTGCTGTCTTTCTTCCTCATATTGTACTTGAAGGAAGGTTAAAGTACAACTTCAATATCTGAGGTAAAGACGCGTTTGTGGTTTATAGTAAACTTGAAGTTCATGTTAAGTTTTTGTCTCCTTAACCAGAGAGTTTCTATGTAGGTAAGATCACCAGGATTTCTCATTAGGCGCTTAGTAAACTAGCGCTGTGCATTTTCTATAGATGTTCTATCACTTCTCAGCTTGGTGTATATTAATCAGTAGTATTCGAGTATGGAATGAATATGGATTTTATATAGGTAGATTTTGGATTCATTTAAAATAAAGGATTTCAGTATTAGCCCTCCTAGTTTACGGGCTTTTGCAACCGTGTACTGTACCTGTTCGGCGAAGTTGAAGGAGCTCGAGCAATGTATCCCAAGATCACGAATTGGGAGACAGAAGGGCAGGGCTTTGCCTTCTACCATCAATGCAATGCTGCACCGATAGCATTTCTCGGATAAGTGTTCTATTTTCCACTTGCAGCACCAAGTTTCCAGCTCGTGCAGATCCGCTTATATATCTTCTAGTGCGTTAGTGCAATTTTCCAAGTCGAACTCATAGACAATTTAATGTCATCGAATGCATATGGTTTGCTGTGTTTAATGACATCAAAGACATCGTTAATGCACATCAAAAACAGAAGAGGCCCCAGAACACTTCCTTGGACAACGCCACTTGTGGCGTTTCTACTCGTGGAAGTATTGCTTAGTATTTCAACTGCCTGATGCCAGATATACCAAAGGAATGTATTTTCGATAGAAGATTTCCATGTGGTACCCATGTGGTACGCATATCAAGAAATATGATATTTGTGAAGCCTGGTTCCGTTAGCTGAACGATTCTCGTTCAGTGCATGATGACCACGCAGGTGATATTCACCTGATAACAGCCGATTGACATACACATCCAAGTCTCCGGTGAGGAGAGTGACTTCCGATTTGGCGGCTTTGCGTAATAACTAATAAAGCTGGCAGTAACAGCGATCCTTGTTCACTTCAGAGCTACAATCGGTTAGCGCGTGAGCAGAAACTACAAAAAATGCACCTTTCAGTGCGATATCTGTTAATCCTGTATGAGCCTTGGAAGCGAACTGCACATAGTCGGCTGTTAACTGGGAACCAATCATGGAGTGCGGCCTCTGTTTCGTTGCTTAACGCCTCACCAACGCCGGTCAATCCAGCAAAAGCAGCCTCTGTGTCACCAGATACACGTATGTGCTATATGGCTTTCTGGTTGGTCGGAGAGTTCAATTTGAACACAGTACTTGGGTCTTGTAATCGCGTTTCGGAAAGGCAACAGGTATCAATGGCGAGGGAACTCAGAGTCCGTGCAAAGGTGGCCTGTTCCCCAATCTGCATAGGCGTCTGGCCACTGAGGGTTGCCAGTCAGAACGAAGATCGGGGTTGAAGATGTTCTGCCTTAGGCAGGACATCATTGGAATCACTGAAACTAGTAGCGGGGTCAAATCCAGGGAAACAGAAACTAATAACAATAGAATGGTTGGCGTATAATGAAACTTGCTGTGAAGAGGAGCTGGCAGGAGCGAGAGAATACGAAACAGCGGTGTGATCCATGGTTTCTGTAGTTGAGGCGATACTACCCGGTTGCCCAGTCCGAGGTAGGGTGTTCACTTAAGGGGCACCACATCGAGCCTTTGGCTCACTAGTCTACCCGCAAGGCAGCGGGGCGAATGCACGGAATCGCGCCCATTGGGAGCCGGTAACCGATTTCTAGGTTCATGCGCCTTTCGTTTGGTAAGATACCCAGCAGGGACCTAATTTTCCCCAGGGTAACAGCAGCTGACAGGTGGAATAAAATGCTCCATCGTAGTGAAGCAAGGGGCATTGACTTTATTTAGTGGCGGGTCACATCCGCTACGTCGCAGTGTTGTTAAACAGACACATGTGGCTTTTCATAGAGAGAATGCTCGCCAGGCGAAAACCCACCACGTCCGGGAACACTGTCGCGGAACCATTCGCTAGAACGGGTAGATTTCGAACCACCCAGTTGGCACCACGATGAAATTGTTCGGCTTCGTGAACTATTCTAAGGATTTAAGGAAAATTTTGATTTTTTTCTGTAAATTAGCAGCGCCCATACAGGTTCTGCTAGTCGAACCTAAATCAGAGTTTAGCGTAATCTGTTTGACCGTCCGTATATGTGTACTGTTCAGCCTCCAATGAAGCGTACAAAACACGATTTACCTTGGACTGACTCCATTCTCTGGGCGCTAACTGGACGACTATTTTACCATGCATGAGCAATGTTTGGTGACAAGAGATCTGACGCTTCGATGCTTGCCGCAGGATGTAGTTTGGCTTCTTCACTCATGGGGTGAGCGATTGATAATCACCAATCTCGAGAGGCTTAGCTACTATCCATTGATCTCTGACCGTTTCTTAGTCGTGGCGTTTTTTGACTCGGACATTTTGCTTTATTCCATTTTCACTTATTTACATAGGATCGCTTAGGTGCGTTTGTGACAGTCTACCACTCCTTTGAACTGGCGACAACCAGGTCTTAACTCTCCAAGTACTGAATCATTAACTCAGCCTAGCTCTGCTGATAATGCCGTTTTTCTTATCCTCGCTACTTTCTTCCGTTTTTTAGGCAAATATCGAACATTTTGATACCAATTTTATCATTCATATCGCGTTCTCATTGGTTGCCCTTAACATCCGCAAGGATTTTTTACTGTGGTCATTCTTTACATTTGCCTTACGCTGCATTCTGCAGACCTTTTTTTCTAGAAATTAACAATATTTTTTCTTGAGGACCATCCTGATTGGCAGGCAAATTCGGACTCAGGAAGTACTGGATAATCCCATGAAACTTCACATTAGGCTTGAAGCAACTGAAGCCATCTCTCGTTTTTTAACCGAGTGTGCTAATGAGCATGGACATCTGAATAATTCGAAATCAGTGCAAACAAGGGTAGAAGTTGTGAAACATAGCAGTCGCTGTGTGTTCGCCCAACGCATCACCTTAGCCGACGGCTGCGTGTGCGTCCTAATAACTATGACAATCAGGATACATCAGTCAAGTACTGTTGCTCTATTCTTTGATTTCTGCCGTCTATCCATTTCCCTTCAACCACTCCCTCATTTTACTGCATCTCGAAGACACTGTTCCACTTTTCTAGCTCCATCCGCTTTCCCTCTTTCAGCTGCCTATTTGGATGCCCGTCCTGTATCTCATCATCAATATTGGTATTGGTGTGTTTTCCATATATGACGCACCTTCGAAAGCACTAATCAGCATCGGCGTTATTGCGATCAGTATTCCCATTTATATTGTCGGCGTGGCGTGGACGAATAAGCCACGTGCTGTACGGTCCTTCTTGTGTGAGTTTGTGAAATGTACATTTATCGGATGTTATCGCTTTTTCTTTTCTGAATTGTGTCGACAAAAGCCGTGGTATAAATTGTCTCAGGTCTTGAATGCTTCTCTGAGCCATCAAATTTGATTTTACCAATTAGATGTAGGCAGAATTCCACTTTACTCTCAGTCATGATTTGTTCTGCTCCGCTAAAGAAATCCGAACTGACTGTCAGGGAATTCAGATGTTCTGAGGTCCAGTTGGTTCGAAATTAAGGGTTATATTCATGCATACTTTGATGGTGGTCAGTTGAAGACATTGACTAGTCCGCAACATTCCAGTGAGCAAACACAACTTCTTTTTTCTGTACGGTTCTATAGTTGTACGAAAACTATCAAACCAAATAACAATAATAAAATGTTATCTTTTCCTGTTGTAAGCTATGGTGGTACTTAGTTACTACAGGCCTTTTAATACAATTTCGGTTGTGATCTAGTTTGAGTACTTCATGCGTTTGCAGTTTTTTTTACTAAATATGTTAAAAACATAATACGGAATTCGCGAACGCCATTTGAATAAACGGTCGCGTTGCATATCCCTGAGCGTTTTGCGTGCTCATCGTGCCTGTGTGGCATAAGACTGTAAACGTAGAGTGTGTCAGAGTTGGTGAACGGGAAGTGGCGATTGTTTTTGGTATCTTGCTTCTTGTCCAACATTCATTTCTCCTAAATCAAGGAGCGCGTTGCTAACGAAATCGTTTAACATGATTTTACTACAGATGGTCTACCCACTGCTGCTACTGTTGTGCCATGAGCTCATGTTCTGGACGACTCGTGGCGACCGCTGGGTGGGAGTTGGGTTACACCCTTCTTCCTGCTAAGATCCAAGACACCAATCCGCATGAGTCATTGAACTGACCATGTGCTAGATCCGCCGCCTTTCGGGTGTACATTTAATCGAAGGCTTAGGCTGAGGACCCTAGTCGTCCTCCTGTCAGCTGTGAGCGCCCTGCCAGTATCCTAGTCCATCCTCTTCAGAGGTTAGGAAGTGGTCGATGGCCCTCTTCCCGTAAAACCTAGTCATGGGAGACAACAGGTCTAAGGGTTATAAGCTCACAACTCGATTGGCGTAGAGCACGAGTGTCACGCATTGTATCTAACGGTGGGACGGCACCTCCGGGTGTTCACTAGTTTGCTGCTACTCGCCTCAAGCAAACAGTCCCTGGTCAAATTGATGCAAACCCGCCAAACCCTCCTGGGTGTGGCCGTGGTCGCACGTGTATCCTACTACGGTCGAAAAACATATATGAATCGTTCCACTACCTCCAAGGCTGCGTGTGACGGCCGTCAAGCAGATCTCAACCTGTCTCTGCAATCACATTTCCGAGGTGCATCTGCTCCCCACTTGCTTGAGGGAGTCAAATGCTCCGGGCGAAGACCCGCAAGCGAACCTCCAGATCAACCACTGCCTTATAGATCAAGCTATTGAGCCAAAGGCTCCGGGCGGAGTTCCTCAAGCAAACCTCCGTAGCACAACCGCCACCTCGCGTGTGATTGCCCACCAATGCAATCGTATGCCTGCGTGCAAAGCACTCGTCGAGTGCTGGAACATGTGCACACTACTGGACCGGAACTCAAGGGAGCGCACGGAACGGTGCACTGCACTGGTCGCGATGAAATCGGCGTGGTACAACATCGATATTGCGGCGCTCAGTGAGACCCGGCTCGCTGAGCAAGGTAAGTTGCATTGAGCTGCTACCGGCATTACATTCTACTGGGTACGAGGCGTCACCTCAGCACCACGTGAACATGTGGTCGGATTTACAATATGCCATCGCCTAAATGGCCAGTTAGTGCGTGAACCAACAGGCATCAGTGTGCGACTGAGGACTGTTCACCTACGACTCGGAAGAGGTAAGTTTGCAACTTTTATCAACATTAACGGTCCGACAGTGTGTTATCCTGATGACGCGCGCGATCAGTTCTACACTCAGTTATTCTCCTTGCTACGGCCTGTACCGAGGAGCGACGGACTATTTCTGCTGGGTGATTTCAACATGCACGTTGGGCGTGATGCATCAATGTGGGCAGATCTCATCAGGCCGCATGACATTAGTTCAGCGAATGCGAACGGTGACAGGCTGCTCTCGCTCGGTGCCACTCACGGCCCGGCGATCACGAACACTCGGTTTGCACTGAGTGCGAGTGATATAGCAACTTGGACGCGCCCACGGAATGGTCATGCCCACCTGCTCGACTATGTGATCGTACGTTAGCGTGATATGCTTGAAGTGCTCATGACACGTGTACTGCGTAGAGCTGATTGTGGAACTGATCGTAAATTAGTGGAGACCAAACTGTACATATATTTTCGTAAATCTGTCTATTGCACTCCTGCCGTGAACCGGCGTAAATTTAACCTTCTCTCCCTCGGTAATGGGGCGAAACGTACTGAGCTAGAGAAGGCGGTGGATGCACGACTGTGTGGTGTGGACAGTATAGCCACGGTGGGCGACCTGTTGCACCACATTCGCGACCAGGTGACAGCTGCTTCCGAGGAGACCATCGAGGGCGCAAACTGTAAACGACCCGATTGGTTTGATGAGGACAATGCGATGATTGGCGCATTGGTGTATGAGAAGAATGCAGCATTCGCTGCACATGTGGCAGACCGCAGTGACTTGGGGAAGGAGAGAAAGTTTGGACGAATTCTACGACGGCTGACCTAAGAGCTCCGTCGCATTAAAAATACATGGATTGCTATGCCGAACGCCGCCAACACAAGGAATTCTCTGACTACTTGAAGGCGGTGTATGGATCGATGTTGGAGTCTCTGAGGACGCTGATCGCTGTTCAGGCGCTACCTGTACACAGATTGTAGACATAATACAGATCTGGCAAAGACATTCTGACTGTCTTGCGCAACCGTTCAGTGATCGACTGGACTAAATTTAACATCCTGAAGCAGCACAATGTGAAGGTGAGCCTGGCGGGCACGCTGACATTGGGTGATACACAGAGAGCACTTGCTCAGCTGCGAAACAGCAACTGTGCCGCTGCCGACTAGATACGGCTTGTGTTTTTGAAACATGGCAGTCCAGCGTTAGCGACTGCGCTGCAGTCAGGTTGTGAAACAGAACGTGGGGGAAGAGTAATGGGATTCTGTTTGGGTCGCTGCACCAGCTGTATAGTTTTTGCGACTCGTCAGTTGCAGGGGAAGTGAATCGAACGAGCCAACCGTTGTACTCGCCTTTTGTTGATTTCACCAAAGCATTTGATACGGTGAACCGCGAGGCATTGTGGCTGGTGTTGTGTAAGTTTGGTTGCTTGCGTAAGTTCTTAAGTTTAATTAAATGTCTGCACAGTGGTATGCCAGCGAGAGTGCAGCTGAGTGGAGGGACCTCGGATGACTTTGCAGTTGTCTCTGGTGTGAAGTTAGGCTGTGTCTTAACTCCTGCCCTGTTTAATATATATCTTCATGCAATGATGTCTTTTGCGTTTGATGCGGCTTGTGCTTCCGGTGTTCGTGTGGAGCACCGTATTGATAGTGGGTTGCTGAACATCTGTCGTTTGGGTACGAGAACCCCAGTCTGTGAGACAACTATCCTTATTTTGTTGTTTGCGGACGACTATGTGTTGTCTGCACACAGCGCGGATGAGTTGCAGCATATGACTAGTGCTCTGGCTTCCACAGCAGCAAAATTCGGGCTCACCATCAACACAAGCAAAACTGTCTGTCTCTTTCAGCATTCACCGGAGGTGCAATCTTCAATATTGCCGCGAATCAGCATTGGGGCTGAAGTATTGGAAACCACGTACCGCTTCTGCTACTTTGTGAGTGTGATGTCGACTTACCAGCAGCTACACAGTGAGTTTCGTATCCGCGTTTCGAAGGCAGCGGCGGCATTTGGGAAGCTTGAGTACCGAGTGTGGAGCAACTATCAACTTACGGTTGGCACGAAGCTGATGGTGTACAAATCCTGATGCTGTCCGTTCTATATGGCAATGAAACGTGGTCGATGTAAAGGCGGGATGTGCGATATCCCGAGCTGTATGGCGCGATCTGCTCACGAAGGCCGTTGCCGAGTTGCAGGAGAAATTCCTCGTGTATGCAGAGAAAAAGCATCAGTTGCGGAAGCAGCAAGCACCGATGTGTTGTACTCCATCGACATCGAGTGCATGGTGCTGTAGCACATGCGGTCGCGAGTACCTGAGTCAGGCAGGCATAGTGAGCTTCCAGTGAGGCCACTGGGGCCGAACATCGAACAGACGACAGGCCCTGTAGCGAACGTAGGCAGAATCGGCGCAGCGCTTGTAGGTACGCTGCATTCGATTTACTAACCGCATGCTTGCGTGCTGAGTTTCTTTATTGCAGGTGGGGGATTTGCTATCTTGTCTTAGTGCTTTTTTAGCTTATGTTAGCTTTTACACGAATTATCTTCTATTAACTTGCACACAGCGCTTACGGTAATTGCGGTTAACTTCCATAACATTTTCGCGTTTTTGGTATTTTCTGTCGTCTTTGTAAGTTAACGCGGATTTTTTCGTAACCAAGTCATTTTATTTTCCCATCTATTGAAAATTTATGTCACCGTATTTGTATGCATTAATCAATTTATTTTTGTAGTTATCCTAGTCACAGGTGATTGGCTGTTGTTTGAAATCCCCAGTGTTGCTGCCGTTGATTTGCATGTTGTGGAGGTGCCTACCTGTCCAGTGCCCACCACCTTATCCATACTGGCTCCAGGCGACGGTTGGTCGTTGCTCGAGGGACGAGGTGCGTCATCCTCTTGGCTGTACTTGGGTTGACTATTGGTTCCATGCCATCGTTTTGGAGTGGAATGTGGTCCAGTCACCGCCTTGTGTGCGATGGATTCCCAAATACAGCGTGCTTGTGGTTGGCTGTGAAGGAGTGTGGGCCTGCTCCGCTGATGAAACGTGGCTCCTATCCACATGCCTCCCGGTCTTATTCCTTCGGGTCAACACTAGATATTTTGTGTGTGGATAGGGCTGTGGTTGGTGCAACAAAAGCCATCTATTGTCCCTCTTTTGCTGCTGTTGTCCTGTGGCTGTCACCTTGGAGGCCACAGTGACTGGCAATCCTTGACCCGATGCCGCCAACCGGATTTTTACGGTCCAACCCGGTTT